TGAAGGGCAAGGGAATGTGGCAGAAGGGCAAGGGCAAGCCGGCCTGGCAGAAGGGCTGCGGCAAGGGCAAGGCCGACGGCGCGCGCGAGCGGGTGGGGCGAGTTTCTCCGTGGTTTTCCAGCTGCGGGGTGCTCTCCAGCAGCTGGGCCTCGCCGAGAGCGTGCCGGGATCGTCCAGAACGTCCGCCGGATACCCGAGTGATGTGATGACCCGAAATCCACACGGCTCGACCGCTCAGAGGAGGAAGCTGTACCGACACAGCTACCCTTGCCTTGTTTTTGCCTCTTTGGGCCTCCTGGGAGGCTCTCGTCGCCACGGCTGGATCCTCTTGACATCCTCGTCAGAGCACGCCCTGGGACAGGTCCGGGGAGTAGCGGCATCGGTATCTTTCTGTTTCACCAGTTGGCCTTTCATGAAGACAGGATCGTCTTTAGCTCCGTAGCCATTTTGGCTCAAGCAGGGTGCCGCGCCCGCTGAGAAGGCCCCCGCGCCCCTCGGGGCCCGGGGGTGGGGGGGGGTCAGGGGGGGGGGGCGCGCGCGCGCGCGACCGCGTGAGGTCGGCCCTCCCGCGCCATGGCGGGCTGACCTCCCGCGCCGGGCGGCGGTTGCCTCCGCGCCCTCGGGCCGCTGGAGGGTGCGGGCGTGATGGCCCGACCCTTGTCCGACGAGGCCAGCCTGTGGCTCATTGAGCTCACGGTGATCTACAGCGTGGCCGCGCTCGCCGCACTCACCGCCTACGGCAACGCAAGCGTGCTGATGCAGGGCCGCTGCGGCTCGGCCGTTCAGGCCCTTCAGGTGCGGCGGCAGGCCTCCGCCGAACGCTTCTACCGGTCGAGCTGCGCCCGATGCCTCGGGCTCACGGCGAGGCACGGGCAGGCTCTGGGCTCCTTGGCGTACATGACGACGGTGGTGGTGCCGTGCCTGCTGTACACCGCCACGCTGCTGGGGGGCGCGATGATCGCCCTCGCCGAAGGGTGGCGCTTCCAAGACGGCTTCATGTACATCTGGCAGGACGTGTTCAGCCTTGGACCGTACGTCTCGTTGCAGCCAGAGGGCGTGTTCGGGATTGTGCTCGACCACTACGTGAGCCTAGTTGTGTTCGTTATCACACAGATCGTATTGGGCTTCTGTGGAGGACTGCAGATCGTCGGCGTCGTCCAGGAGGCAACAAGCAAGTCCGTTTCCGGTTTCGTGCGTATCGTGTTTCTGTACAGCCCGATTTCGATGGCGTTCGTCTGCGTTTGTCAAGCTCTGGTTTTGACATGGTTGGAAGGCTGGGACCTTCAGGACTCAATGGGCTTCGTTGTAGGAACACTCTGCAATGTTCAGGCTGGTCTCAGCGACGACAGTCCTCAAAACGTCAGCTCTTTGTTCTTGTGCTCTCAGTTCATTGGCATAACTATGGCCGCTTCTGGGATCGTGATCCAGGTGGTCGGATGCCACCTTGTCGTGGTCGAGTGTGTCACGCGCGTAAATGACATGGGGCTGGCCGTGGCCATGGCCACCCCGAGGATGTGGAGAAGAAAGGCTGGGCCGCCAGCCGAATCAGAGGATACCGTCTGTGAGGAGGAAGAGCCGGAGCGAGGCCCGGCGAACACCACGAGCCCCACGGATGCGAAGCAGCAGTCGCAGCCGTCCTCTTCACAGTCGCAGGAGGAGCTGGCGAGCGTTCCCGCGAGCGTCATCCCGCGGATGCGCGCAGACTCTGACCAACAGCATCTGGAGCCTCAGAAGCCGAGATTGAATTCGCCACCCGAGGAGGAGGACGCCGAAGTGCACAGTCTGAGACTGGCACTGGCTGCTTCCCAACAGCGGGAGCTGCAGCTGCAGCGCGAACTCGAGGCAGCGAGCGAGAGAATAGCTGGTTTCGGTGGAGGGGCCCACGCTTCCCCACAGCCTGCCGCTGAGGGCTCGTGAGGCCAACTTCGCCTGCCCTGGGCGTCGTCCATCTTCATCGGCCCTTGCGAAGCCCACGTGGGCTCGCTGCTTGTTCGGGACGACCGATACGCTCCGGCTTTCGGACAGGGTGCGAGGAGTGACATTGCCACTCAGCGTCTATAGCGCCAGGGCAGTAACAGTAAGTAGCGCAGGTATTTTCTCGAGCGGCAGAATCACTGCAGCTCCGTGTCATCCTGTTCTTCCTTCCCTCCCTCCCTCCCTCTTGCATTTTTCATCTTTCCCTCCTCTCTCCTTCCCGTTTCAATGTTGCTCCTGTTGTGAGTCTGCCAGCTAAGGCTTGCAGGTGTACGCGCGCGCACGGGATTGTGCTCTTCTGGCGCTCTTGTGGGGTCATTATTGCGGGTGCCTCCACCGAAGTATGAGGCCGTGTTTGCATGCATGAGTTGTGCGCCCCGTCTTTGTTCTTGTCCTCCTCCTCCTCCTCCTCCTCCTTCTGCATGTGCTCCGCCAGCCAGCGTGAGCTCGCGTGCACGCTGTGTCAAGGCAGCGCACACTGTGCACCATGCTGTGAGGAAGCGCAGTGAACGAAAAACAAAAAAAGACAGGATCGTCTTTAGCAGGGGTCGGAAGCTTCGAAGTAGGGCTTCGTTGTCCAGAGAAGGCGTCGATGCCACCATGCCTGGCCAAGGGCCATTCCAGGGCATGCGATGGTGTACGGACCCTCCTGGCCTTGGCCAGGAGGGCGCACCTACAATGCTGGGGACCATGGCGGCCCATGATGGTCCTGACCATACATGGTGCTGTAAAGGTGTCTTCTGCGTGTAGAAGGTAACCTTCCTCCCCAGACCCCCGTCGACTCTTTCTGCACGGCATGGACTGCTGGAGGTCTCCACGTCATCCCGAGGGCCAGCTGCTAATCCCGAGCTGTTTCCTGGCGGTCCCAGTGCCTTGATGATGATTGTGTTGATGCTACAGTTGAGGATTTCTATTCCGATACTTATGACGATTATGGTTAAGGTGGTGGTCATGATCATGATAAGTATACTGACTATTGTGGTGATGCTGGTGACGATTCTGGTGATGATGGACATGATGATGATGATGATGATGATGATGATGATGATGATGATGATGATGATGCTGATGCTGATGCTGATGCTGATGCTGATGCTGATACTGATGATGAGGATGATGATGATGATGATGATGATGATGATGATGATGATGATGCTGTTTGTGATGCTGATGATGATGCTGATGCTGATGCTGATGCTGATGCTGCTGATGATGATGGTGATGGTGATGGTGATTGTGATGGTGATGATGATGGTTCTGGTGATATTGATGATGTTGGTGAGGATGGTGAGGATGATGATGAGGACGAAGACGACGAGGATGCTGCTGCTGCTGCTGCTGTTGACTTCCCATCTCTAAAGACCAATGATTGCAGATCTCCTGATCCCCCCTGCGCTTACCATTCGATTTTTCAATTGAGGTGCTACTCCTGGGGTTCGCACCTGGTTGTTTATCAAGGGTGCTACCAAATTGGGTTGTTGGGCCCTGAATGTTTCCGCACAATTTATTTGAGAATCGCGCTGTCGCGAAGGAATCCCTTTTAATTTTTTGCAGGGATAGCGCTCTCGCGTGGGACTTCCTTGCAATTAATTGATTCACGCGCCGCGCCCTCGACACTCAGGAATCGCGTTCTCGCTTTGGCTTTTCTCACGATTTACTTCGGAATCATGCTATCGCTCGAGCTCTCCTCGCGATTCAAGCAGGACTCTCGCTTCAGCAACCCGCCTGCCCGACCTGGCCGCTTGGGCCCGCCTTTCCGACCTGCCCGCTAGGGTCTTCCCTCCCGATCTGACCGTCTGTTTCTGCCACGTGTTTTCTGCTCCTAGCCCCCCTGCTAATTGCTCTCGTGCTCCGTCCTTCTCCCTCCCCCTTTCATCCGTCCTCTCTTGCCCTGCCCTAGGGGCAGGTAAGGAGCATGTACCCCAAGGGGGTAATTTCCATCGAAGACGAAGAGGGCGGGTAGCGAGGTTTTGGGATATTCGTGTTGAACGGCACACTCAAACAACTGAATATTTGTTGATCCCTCCTCCGGTCACCAAGTTGGGTTGTTGGGCCAACGCTACACCAACAACGGCTCTCGCCGGATACCTCCTCACAGTGTATTTCCAGATCGCGGTCTCGCGCGGGACTTCCTTGCAATTAAAACAGGAATCGCGCTCTCGCATGGGACTTCCTCGCGATTCGTTCAGGCACCGCGCCCTCGACACTCAGGAATCGCGCTCTCGCTTTGGCCTGTCTCACGCGTTACTTCGGAATCGCGCTATCGCTCGAGTTTTCCTCGCGATTCATGCAATATTCACGCTTCAGCAACACGCCTGCTCGACCTGGCCGCTTGGGCCCGCCTTCCCGATCCGCCCGTTAGGCTCCAGCCACCCGATGGGCCCGTCTGGTTCTGCCACGTGTTTTCTGCTCCAAGCCCCCCCCTGCCAATCCCGAGCTCCATCCTCTTCCCTCTCCCTTTCATCCGTCCTCTATTCCCTTGTTTCAGGGGCTGCACCACCTACACGCGGCAGGTAAGGAAGATATGCCCAGAGGGGGTACGATCTAAAACGACTAGGGCGGGTAGCGAGGGTTTGGGAAATATTGGTTCAGTGGCACGCGAGCAGGTAAGAACGAGCAATCTTAAAGTGATAAATGTCGTCGTTGAATTCTCATTTCTGACAAACAATTATTGTTGATCCCCCCACCGGTGCATACTGTTATTCTCAATCAAAGTGTGCCCGCGACGCTCGCACCCTGTTTTTTTATTAGGGACTGTCTTGAGGCTCAAACTGGGCCCCTGGCCCCCGAGTTACAACAACAACGGCTCTCGCCTGATTCTCCCTCACAAGTTATTCCCAATTCGCGCTGTCGCGCGGGACTTCTTCACAGTTATGGTTGGTGTTGTCGGTGGTGTTGGTGTTGGTGTTGGTGTTGGTGTTGGGGTTGGGGTTTGGGTTGGTGTTGGTGTTGGTGTTGTTGTTGTTGTTGTTGTTGTTGTTGTTGTTGTTGTTGTTGTTGTTGCTGCTGCTGTTGTTGTTGTTGTTGTTGTTGTTGTTGTTGTTGTTGTTGTTGTTGTTGTTGTTGTTGTGGTTGTTGTTGTTGTTGTTGTTGTTGTTGTTGTTTTTGTTTTTGTTTTTGTTGTTGTTGTTGTTGAACTCTCACCCCTGAAGAAGAATTATTGTTGATCCCCCCCGTCCGGTGCACATTGTTTTGTTCGATTGAAGTGCCCTTCCCGGGACTCGCACCCTGTTTTTTATCAGGGAAAGTCTTGAGGGTCAAACTGTGTTGTTGGCCCCCGGTTTACAACAACAACGGCTCCCGCCTGAGACTTCCTCACAATTTAGCCAGGACCCCCGCTCCGCCCGAGACTTCCTCGCGTTTTTTTCAGGAATCGCGCTCTAGAGTCGCGCTCTCGCTGGAGACTTGCTTGCAATTAGCTGAAGAATAGCGCCCTTGCTTTGGAATTTCCTGCAATTTACTCAAGCGCCGCGCTCTCGACACCCAGGCACCCAAGAGTCGCGCTCACGCTTAGGACTCCCTCACATATTACATAGGAATCGGGATCTCGCTGTCCTTCGTGGCCCCGTTGCAGCCCTTCGTGGCCCCCTCCCTTTGTTTCGTGGCCCCGTTGCAGCCCTTCGTGGCCCCCTCGCTGCCCTTCGTGGCCCCGTTGCAGCCCCTCGTGACCTCCTCGCTGTCCTTCGTGGCCCCGTTGCAGTCCTTCGTGGCCCCCTCGCTTTGTTTCGTGGCCCCGTTGCAGCCCTTCGTGGCCCCCTCGCAGAACTTGGTGGCCCCGTCGCAGCCCTTCGTGTCCCCGTTGTTGCCCTTCGTGGCCCCCTCGCTTTGTTTCGTGGCCCCGTTGCATTCCTTCGTGGCCCTCTCGCTGCCCTTCGTGGCCCCATATATGTATGCCCTTCGTGGCCCCCGCTCATTCGCGCCCGTGGTGGCCCCATATGCATCTGTCCTACGTGGCCCAGTTGCTACCCTCAGTGGCCCCATCGTTGCCTTCTGTGGCCCCGCATTATCTGCCCTTCGTGGCCCCCGCTCGTTCGCGCTCTTCGTGGCACCATACGCATTCCCTTCGTGTCCCCGTTGTTGCCCTTCGTTGCCTACTTCGTGTCTTTGTGGCCCTGCTGTCGTTCTCTTTCTCTCTCGCTTTCGCTCGTCGTCGTCGTGGCCGTCGTCGTCGTCATTGTCGTCGTCGTCGACATCATCGTCGTCGTCGTCGTCGTGGTCGGTCCCCTGTCCGTCCCTCTTGGGGTCGGGTCGACGGTCCGCGGCCGCCCGGCCGATCAGCGCTGCCGCTGGCCAGGCCGACGGTCCGCGGCCGCCCCGCCGCCTGCCGGGGCCCGGCCTGCAGGGAAGAAAGGTAAGGGGTTCGATCGAAGACGAAGAGGGCGGGTTTCGAGGGTTTGGGAAATAGGCGTTATTGGACACTCGAGCAGATAAGGGTGAACAGTCTTAACATGATTGTTGTTGTAGTCGTTGTCGTTGTCGTTGTCGTTGTCGTTGTCGTTGTCGTCGTTGTTGTCGTTGTTGTTGTTGTTGTTGTTGTTGTTGTGATTGTTGTTGTTGTTGTTGTCGTCGTCGTCGTTGTCGTTTTCGTCGTCGTCGTCGTCGTCGTTGTTTTTGTTGTTGTTGTTGTTGTTGTTGTTGTTGTTGTTGTTGTTGTTGTTGTTGTTGTTGTTGTTGTTGTTGAATATTATTACTTCTAAAGAAATATTATTGTTGAGACCCCTGGTGCGCGACCCCCCTCCAAAACCTAGGCCGCAGCCTCATTTCCTTCATTTTCTAGCGAAAGCTTCAGAAAAGTGGATTGTCACCGGATCCGGTTGTTTTGTTGTAATCCGTTTTCCCTTGCAAAAAACACTATAAAATGACATTTCTTGTTCTAATATAATCAAATTTCAAGAATCCCTTGCAAAAAATAAGGTAAAGTGGACATTCGCGCGCGCAAGACGAAATCCTTCCAAAACCTTAGTTTCGTAGCGATTTTAACATAAAAACATCAAAAAACCAATGGTTTTTTAACAAAAAATTGTCAAAATCTCATCCCGCGCGCTCTTGCGGATTCGTAGGAAAACCAACACTTTTTAAACATTTCTGTCAAACGGGCTTTTGCGAGCAACTTTTTCGAACTTCTGCGACAACGGTTGCGCACCTGCCAGGGCCATCATCCCTGTCAAATAATACCATGCGGGACACATTCGTTTTTTCTTCGCGCGCGCACGCCGAAATCTCCAAAAACCATTGGGTTCTTAAGAATTTTAGCACCGCGCATCATAAAATCACACGAATCGCACCGTAGGTCCTCGAAAAACACCTGCACGACTTTTCAAAATTTCCACCCGCGCGCGCTGTCCGAATCCTAAAAAAACCAATGGTTTTCCAACATTTATGTTACATGAGCTCGCGCGAGCTACTTTCGCACGCTCTTGCAACGGGGTTCGCGCGCCTGCCAGGGGCCAGAACTCCGCTCTCTCTGTCTCTCTCTCTGTCTGCTCTCTGTCTCTCTCTCTGTCTGTCTGTGTCATGTATTGTATG